GGGAGTGCGCGAATGGTCATCCGTTTCTTTTTCTCTCGTCACGCAATTCAACCGATCGATTGACGAGACCTGTGATTTTCATGAGTATGGGTAGCGGTCGTATCACGGTGCGCCAAATGTGAGATAGACGGCTCATATGTTGCGAAGAAATAACATTAAGTTCGACTTTGGGTAGACCGTGGGTACAAGTTTCGCCAATAATCAACAGTTCGGAGATCTGACGTAGCATACCGAAGGAGTAACGCGGGTTTTGCATCCCGGATATGAGACCGTAATCACGTTACTTTGTTAATAGGCGAGCACGAGGTGTCCAACGTGTACCGCTTTTGTTTCAATCGCCCGATAGTCTGAGTAGAGCGTATCGTATTGACGACTATTAAATGGAATAAGAGTGAAATAAGATGATTACTTAATGAAATATTTTTGAAATTAATTAACCTTTAGTCCAAAACTTCCTCGTATCTATCGCTGTTAAGTTGCGAAGGACCTATATTGGTGAGAATTTCAGGCATTTTCAACGTTCCGCTCTCAAATCAACGGATGACCGGGGCTACCTGAGGAGTTCCAGTTCTGACTATCTACTCCTGACTAGAGCACACCTCACCGAATTTTGACTAGCCGACCGCCCGTGAAATCGAACGAGATTTGGTTATAATCTTGGTGCTCCTTTTCCGTATATAGGTAGCCTACAAGGTCAATGAGAGCTGAAGGAAGCAGCTATTATCTGAAAGACAGTAAACGATTATGTGCTTTCAGCGTTCATTGCCCATCCTCATAAAGTCTTTGCTAGCGCCTAACAACAATTAGACACAGAGAAATAAACGATTACGTATTGTTCCTCGATTCTTCCGTGTCTTAGTCTGTAATAATTTTGGCCGGATTATTTCAAAATGTCAACATTTAATTCTTTCAATTTAAAGTAAACCACCATACTTTAAAATATGCTTCTCATGTAATCGATATATTTTATTTTGTAGAATGTGATAAAAACTTATACTAAAATTTGCAACTATTATAGTTCATATCAGATGCACATTTTGATAAGATATTATAATTTAACTTGTTAGCACAAAACTTTAACCTTTAGAGGACGGGGATATTCCGTCTTAGGACAACCGCATACATATTAATATTCAATGTTTTTTATAGCAAAATTTGGCGTGGAAAATATAGAAAAAATTGTAAAAAAATTCTAGAGTAATCCTTGATATTGAAAATATCTTCTCTAGGTAAAATTAAACTGTTACAATACAACTGTTATAAATGGGACCAAAACTGGACACGTACTGTGACGATAAACGTCTTGTTAGCGCTATCGCCTCAACCATGCGGCTGCCTACGAGGGCAGCACCTACTGGTTGGAGAAAATAGAAAAAGGGAACTCGGTATGAGACGGGACGGAACGCGCGTGAATATAAAAGTGTGGAGGATTGGTTATCCAAGCATCCAGCCACAGTTAGCAATAACCAGAGTTTTCCAGAGTTTCCGAGTGCTGAAGCGAGCCAGTGAAATTGGACAGACATTTACACCAGCTGCACTTTCGTCGTCACTGTTGTGAGAGTGCGAGTGTGAGTGAGTGAGAGGTTTCGCCATCGAAGGCGAAACCGAGAGTTTGAGACACCTCGTTCAGAGACTGACGTGCTGGAGGTTGACAAACGAACTTTCCCCTCTCCCTGCTAATAATACGACTCTAATAAGGTAAGCTGGCCAGCTTAGTATCGCGATTTTAATATGACGGCGCGGAACGAATTATTAATCCCTCTGTAAAGATCGACAGCATGCATGTATTAACTCTGCGAACAAAGAGCTACGGCCGCTCTGGCATTGCATGTTATTGACGCGCGCGCGCTTCGTAAACATAAACACGTGGGCTAAGTATACTGTAGAGAATAGGTAAATAAACTAACTCGCATGTGATACAGATTATAATTTCGCTGTTGTCATTTCTAACTAGTAGCAAGTTGGTTGACTGACTCCCGTCCCCTTCTGCTCTCCGATTAATGAATTTGAATATTTCTATAGCACCGTGCGCATCTCGATACGACTACGCGTTGAAAGAATAATCGGAATAAGAACGGAGCATTTACCCCGTTACAGTACTTATTAGAACGAGTGTTTTAGATTTATTTTGATTTGATTCCATCATCAATGATTTCGTCAATAGATGTCAAAATAGGTATTATTAGAAGTAGTGGCTATAGCAAAATATCAACTTTCAAGGTCAAAGGAACCCTTTGCATCAGTTTCTTTATTTTCCTCGTATTCAGCGCACCACAACACATACTCATACCAAATTTGAAGTTGAAACGATAAAAAATAGGAATTTCAGCTAAAAAGAGGGACTGTCAATGACAATTTGACCTTGACTTGGCAATGATTTTGTAGAATGTGATAAAAAGTCAAAGTTACTCCCTGCAAAATTAAAATTAAAATTCGAATTCAGAACTCAAAAACAATAGGTATATCAAATTCGAGGCTAAAATAAATTAAAAAAATTTTTTTTATTTGCTTTTCTGGTGTGGACGAGGGTGGTTCCTATAGGGACCACCTGCCAAGTCGGATATTTGTCTTAACTAGTTCAGTGAAAATTCATGACAATTATGGTGGAAATCGACACTAGATTAGAACTGAAATTTTCCCGCCTTATAAAGGTAAAGTCATGACCATCCACAACACTTTTTCAAAAAGTAAAACTTACGTGCGAATAGGCTGTCGTAAATACGAAGGGGGGTCAATAAGTCTTTACAAGAAGGAAAAAAAAGTTTTGCGTATGTAATTTTTTTTTATTTTTCAACATAATCTCATTGAAGGTCGATACATTTTATTAAACGGCCTTCCAGTTTTTTTAAGCCATCAGAAAAATATGATTTCTGAAAACCCTCAAAATAGGCATTTGTTTCGGCGATGACTTCTTCATTCGACGTGAATCGTTGTCCGGCAAGCCATTTTTTGAGGTTAGGAAATAGTCACTGGGAGCCAAATCAGGCGAATATGGTGGATAGTCAATTAATTCGAACTTTAAATCGTTAATTTTTGCCATAGATACTGCAGACGTGTGAAGTCGAGCATTGTCTTGAAGAGGCAGTTTTTTTGTTCAAGTGAGGACGTTTTTCTTTGATTTTTTTCTATCAGCTGACCTAATAATGACGCATAATATTGTCCAGTGATCGTCTCGCCCTTTTCCAAGTAGTCGATTTAGATGATTCCATATGCATCCCAGAAAACCGTGGCCATAATCTTGCCAGCTGGCTTTACTGTCTTTGCCTTATTTGGGGCTGGTTCTCTTGCGGTAATCCATTGTTTGGACTGCTCTTTGGTTTCAGGAGTGTAGTGGTGTACCCGTGTTTCGTCTACAGTTACGAGTCGACACCAAAAGTCTTCCGGATTACGAAGTATGCGTGCCAAAAGAGCCTCAGAGGTGACCACGCGGGTTTGTTTGTTTTCAACAGTGAGCAAACGCGGCACCTATCTTGCTGATATTTTTTCATCCCCAAATTTTCATGCAAAATTGAAATGATTGTACCCTTTGATACCCCTGTGGCCTCAACTAATTGTCGCAATTTTAATCTTCTATTACTCAACACTATATCGTAGATTTTGTTGTCCATTTCGGGCGTACTCACTTCTACGGGGCGTCCTGAACGAGGTTCATCTTTTTTTGTTGTACGACCGCGTTTAAATTCATTTATCCAGTTATAAACAGTCTTTAACACAGGGGCAGACTTGCCATGAACGGCGTTTAACTCAACTGTGATTTTTTTTGGTGTAAGGCCTTTCAAATGAAAATGTTTTATCACCGCTCAAAACTCTGTATTTTTCATTTTTCAAATAAACCAATAACTTTTTGTTCAACCAATGCTCACAAAAAAACGACTTAATGAATCGAGCTGAAACTTTGTACGATAGTTAGTAGTATTGCTTGCCAAAAACATAACTTAAGCGTGACGAGCGCCATCTCTTGGATTTTGTAAAGACTTATTGACCCCCTTCGTACCTAGACACTAAAGACTATTTTAAGACATTTTTGCAGTTGCAAGCAAGTAAAAATTGCAATTTAACAACTTTTCTTATAATAATGAAACTGTAATTTTGAACAAATTTGATTTTAAAATAGTTTTTAGGCTCTAAGTATTAGCGGCAGCCTACTTGCATGTAGGTTTTACTTTTTGAGAAGTGTGGTGGGCAGGGGAAAAGAAGATTTCATTAACTGTACCAGGATGGTATAAAATGAAATCCATAGATACGTTTGTTCAAATAGAGCACCTAATGAACCACCAATGATCGCTTCTGATAGTTTTAAATTATATAAATAATTATAAATTGACAAATCACTGATACGAATAGATGATCAAGCCTGTTCTCAAGATGCATACTTGTTATTTTAACGTATACCTCCATTACCAGCATCGGGCTATGATCGATATCTTATCATACGTACTTACGTTTTTAGTATTCAGACCATACTAATATTTTTAGTAATTCATAGCATTTTTATAAACCAACAAAGTATGTAATTAATATGAATGAAGGTTATGTACACTGTGTTACTCCAGCGTATTGTACGAAGTACATAGAATACGTATACTCAACCTGATACCTGTGACGAAAAGTTGTCTGAGACAACGACAACTGAAAAATCTTGTTTTCCAAATAGCTTTCTTGAAACTGTATCAGTTCAACTAAAACTTTTTAAATGAAAAATGGTAATGTGGATTTCAAATTTTACTATCGAATACAGCATCAGTATATCATGTGTAAAGACTAAAGATGAGATAACACTTTCGAAAAGCCCGGATTAGCCAATTTATCATATAGTGTCAGGTGCGGCTAGGCTTCATAGCTATTTAATAACTACTCGCATACGTACCACGAATGCGATACTTGATAATGATACAGGCAAGTTTTTTTTACTTGTGTCTTGTTTATGAGAATTAAACTAATAATATACACTCTATTAAATAAATAGACAACAATTTTTTTAAGCATTTTATTTACTTGGATTGTATCATATACTGAAATTTCACAATAAAAATACTTAAATTACTGTCTAATATTTATTTACATTTCCTTAATAAATACCTTCATGGTAATATACGATAAAATATTGCTCAAACAATAAACTTTATTAACCTAGAACTTATTTAAAAATTTGAGATTATGATAGTCATATTCTATATTGACACTAGCTTAATCACCCTAAATTAAATTTGTATAAAAATATTAAGTACCAATAGCCGTAACACAATAATCAATTTTATAGTAAACAGTACACGTTTCAATTAAGCGCAGACAATCTATAATACTTTAAAAGTCTTTGAACAGACTGAAAAAAATAATATATGATTTAAGGATTTTCATAGGTTTCAAGAGAATATATAGAATGAAATAAAATTAGATGTAAGTTTTCCTTACAGTCACGGCCTTTTTGTATGACATACGCGCACAAAAAATACCAAATAAAACTAAACTTGAAGGTCTAAAATAAAAACGTATGAAATGAACGATCAACATTCAAAAATAAATTGAACAACAAAAATATTTCTAAACTTTGACTGTGCGCAAAATGACTAAATAAGAAACGACAATTTATGTGCGATAATACTTTTTAATTTAAAAAGTACGCTAGTTTTTTTACATTTTCATTTCTTAACTAGTATGGTTTTTATAATTTTTTATAGATATAAAAACTCACACACACACACACACACACACACACACACGCGCGCGCGCGCACGCACACCGTGATCGTCGAACTATCTCATATTAGTTCTATGATTAACTTCGGTATTTGTAATTCAGAAAATTTTTTAAATATTTAAATTAAAAATATGAGTAAAAATAGTAAATTTTTTTTATAAAAGTTTGAGTTAACATTAATATTTATGAACATACGATCGTATATATGTTACTCTAGTTAAATTTGATTAGTCCAACAAAAATATTTTACAAGTTACAAATTTACAATAAATGTTGTCAGTGAATTGAAGCGATTTTATTTTTATTAAAAAACACTATTTTGTAATTTTAAAGTAAGTGATTGCAATACAAGATCTGGATTTTGCGACATTGAGAACGTTTGTAGAGCATAAAAGTTAGCAATATTATTCAATCTTCGAAGACTTTGAACTTACAAGTACTGCAAAGCCCAGAGATATGTCACTAATGATAGTAAAATATATCAGGCAAGTGTATTTTTTATATACTTCGATAGGAAGATATTGTTGAACAAAAATTTCAAAGGTTTTTTATTTATATATTTACAAGTGAACACTTGAATTAAACAAACAATACCTGAAATTTTATTTTGCATATTAAAAATAATCTAATCATTCCTTATCACTTAAGGACTATAAGGTTATTTGTGAAATATTCATGAGATTTTCTGTACTTGTTTGGCCTACAAAACATACATATGTGAGCGATGCCTTTTATTTATCGTTGGTTGTATGATTTCTCTCCCCTCTTCTAGCTCTATCAGTAGTCATAACATTGAAATTAAAATGTAAAAAGACTAGATAATTTCTTGATTGTTTAATGTTTATCCATGTATTTTTTTTTTTAATTTCAGATATATTCAGCGCATTCAAGGTTTAGAAATAAATATTTATAAATTGTAATCCAAGAAATTATTAATTGTAAATGGAGAAAAAATTATGTAACAAGGTGGAAAATTCGATACTGAACAGAAATTTGTAGCTTTAACCAAAAGAACAAAGTTTGCGCGGATAAACAATTAGTGAAAAACAGACATTTTTTGTCTACATGCATACAGCTTTTCGGCAACAAAAATGCATACAAAGTTATTCTATACACGTCATCACTAAATATATATTTTTCAGATTTTTTTTTATAAAATAATTCGAAAAATTAACTTTATGGCTATTTTTAAACAAGTTGAATTAAAATTAGGATTGTTACACTTGTAAACTAGGTCTCTAACCAACGAAATTGAGCTCCATTATTAATCCAAATTGGTATCTCTAAAGTTCTTCCAACGCTTAATAATTAATATATAAATACAAACATGTTTTTAATAAATAATATTTATTGCAGGTTATTGAAATTTAAAGGTTAACTTTTTGTGTTAAGAAGCATAATTTTTTTTATATTATGAATTAATAACTTACAAACTACATAGATAATTAAATAATTATTTTAATTCACAGTAATTTAAATAATATTTATTTATTTTGATGTGTATAGAATTATTTTTAGAAATTTTGGTCTTTGGAAATTCATCAAAATCTAAAAAAAATTTAAATAATTTTTCAGTTGTTTTTCACTAATTGTTTATCTTTTTAGGTTATTTTTAAAGATTATATATTCTTGTTTAGTACTATAATTCCCATTTTTTCATCGAATATTTTTTCCATTTGCAATTATTATTGAAATCAAATCATTCTATTGCCAGAATGTCTGAATTATTGGATAATTTTTAAATTAACAGTTGATCAGACTACAGTAAAAACTCTAACTTGTATCTTATTTGAATCACAAGAAACCTATGAAATTCCTTAAGCATACGTACTGTACAATCACAAGTATAGTTATATAAAAATCAGAATTAACTTATAGTTGTCACTCTTCATTTAATTATTATACAAAAAACGTAAATACACTATTGAACTTATAAAATGAGATTCAACTTGCTAATAAGACTCTGTTCTAGAACATTAGCATGATTCTTGTAAACGCTAATATGAGATTTGAATTTATGTATTGTAAAAAAGATGATGGTTCCTATGTAGATTGGATTTCAGATGCGGCAAAGAATTTTGATGATATTCTTCTGTAATGTGTGTAGTTATAGCAGACTGATTTTTGTTGATCCTATCAATACAAGTTACTGAATTTCTTCTCTCCCTATTTGTATCAGAAATATTATAAGAATCTGACAAATCATTGTCTTCTGTACCTAAATTTCGAAAACGTACAAAGCCATCTTCAGCTACCAACATTGTTGATCCAGAATTCGAAGAGTGCTCATTAAAATTTGTTGGACCTGCATTAGATTTACTACGACTATCCGAATTGTAAATAATTTGAGTATCATTTTTACGTTGCGTGCACGATGTTCTTCTTTCTTGAGATGAGTGGCTTAATGTTCCTGACATTCTAGTCGAATGCCTTTCAAATGTATTACGATTGAGGTGATCCGGTAATGTATTTAATGGAAAACTGTCATCATATACATGTTTTCCAGTACGTATGGTGTAGTTCTGTATAGCATGATTAGTATTGCAAATAGCTGGGTATAATGCATCATCCATATTTTCTGTTGATGTCGAACTACCACAAGGAAAGAGAGCGAAGCCTGGATGAACAATATGCTGTGAAACCTGCTTTTCTCTAATTTGGTAACGCGACAAACTAGCAACCCATGCTAACAAGCCACACATTGATAGCTCAATTAGTCGGACAGAGAATTCCCATCCCCACCACAACCAAAAATGTGGTTGAAGGCGTTCTTGAACTCCAAAAACGCCATATAACTGTACGAATCCCATTAAAATAAATAATAAAGCAGTAGCAATTGTAGTTGTTATAGCGGTATTTAGTGTGACAGTCATAAAATCTGTCACAATATGATTTCCAACAGGTTTTGTATTAGCCATCTGTATTTGAGTTCGGATAACACGATAAACGTACATATAGCAAAGACCAAGAGACACACAGAGTATAATGTAAATACATTGGCAAATAAGAGGAAGGATGCGAGACTCATCTGCATAACCAAAAACATGACCAGATACATGTAAACCAATACATATAGTGATGTGAATAGTAAAAGATAAAGCCAATATAAATGGAGATGAAAATTTGCTCTGATGAAGGCAAGGTGCGGGAGAACATCGTGACATGTAAAGTATAAGTGTTGCAAATGCAGCAGCTAATAATGATGAAGGTAAAAATTTTATAATTTTTGAAAGTGTTTCTGGGAGTGAATGTCCTAGATTATATGCATCATAAAATAAATAAAAACATCGCAAAGTACAAACAATAGTTAAAAGTAGATGAATTGTCAAGAAATACGATTGGGTTAGAAGATTTGTGGCGTTATTGAATCGAACTATTTTATATACGGAGTAGAGAGCTATCAAGGTAAATATAGAAGCTGCTAAATAAACATGAAGAGACCATGCAATTTTCCAAGTCGACTCTAAAGGGTGTGAATTGAAATGAGGAATTATACTTTTTTCACCGGTTCTAACATCTGGAATTTTAGAAGGTAACTCTGGAGATTGGGGATAAGCAAGTTTTTCATTATCAACAATATCAACATTACGTATTCTGCCTGGTTCATTATGTTTTTTAAGAATCTTTCTTCCATTTAGAGTGCTATTATAATTACTTTTTCCTATTTGGAGTAATTCGTCTGTTGAGTAATACGTCGGAGTTGCAGTACTTTCTTGCGTTGAATGTACGCTAAGTATAGGCGTTACAGTAGATTCTTCATTAACTGGGTATATCGTTACAGAGTTTTGAGATGGTTTCGTCGATATAGGTTTTAATAAAATGTCGGGAATATCTTGTTTTCTTCCATTGCTTCCTGATAAAATTCTTGAAATACTAGTAAAATGTAATGAAGGTACATAATCGACCGTGTCATTAAAATTTTTATTCCGATTTGATATCTCAGAACTATCTTCTCTAGATGAATAATGTGAAGTATCTTTATCAAGAAAAGTTTTCTCAAGGTTTTTCGTCGTACTTTCAATCAAGTCAGGAGGTTTAATAGGTATTCTTTCATGAACTGGAGTATAACTTGGTGGCGGAACAGGTCTTCGAAGATTGGAGTGAATATCCGTATTGGTTCCTCTTAATGTTGGTTTATCAGCAAAAGGATTAGAATATTCCGGAGGAAGTGGTGGAGTAAACAAAGCTCTCGAGGGTGGTGCATATGATGGCAACTCACGAAGAAATGGAGAATTAGTTGATCTGGTTAAAACAATAGAATTAAACATCGAAGAAGTTGTTAGTAAAGTTGCTAATGGCGATGGTGAAGTTGAATGTATAGTGCTTTGTGAAACTTGTGCTTCAAATGCTGGTACACTTCTTTTCGTTGTTGCAGAACTATGCGCAACTTTATTGAATATAGCTGCAATATTTTTTTCCAGTGCTGTGTGATCTAAATTAAATACTGGATTATTTGCTTCAGTTTCACTAGCACTAAATACAAATGTATTACAAAAAAATAAGCACGCTAATTGTAACACTGTTCTATACATTATTGAACAAATTTACTTTGAGAAACAGCTACTATATGAGCTGAGTTTCAATAAGTTGAAATCAAGTCAAATACAAAATTGAAAAGGATCTTTTTCCATTATCAATGTTCTGAGCTTTTCTTGTCAACTTACACACTGTCTTATACAATAATTACTCTATAAAGCTACATTATTATATATAATAATTATTTTTTAGAAAATTATCATTAACCAAATCTAAAATATTCTTTTATTCTATCTTCATAAAGATGGCGGCATGATCAGAAATTTCCCTTACTTGTCCGTTTCTACGAAGATTTGCTTATACTTAAAAATTTTCATTCCGACAGCATTTTTTCAAGTTTGTATTATAAATATTTGAAAGGAATTTGAAGACAGGAGGATCATATATCGTCTCTATTAACTGCTAGAATTTATTTCTGATACCATTCTATTAATTGGAAATACCTGCAACAGAAAATATAAATCTTATATTACACAAAACATACATAAACATCAAAATTTCAAGTTAATTTTAGTGTTGATTGCTTCAAAAAATGCGAATATATACTTCTATAAGGACATGAAATGTTCAGATATTATTCCCAATGTTTAGAAATAAAATTTTTCATCTAATTCTACTCTATATTGGACAAGTAATTCGACATATTATTGACTTCGCTTGATTTAAGTATATTTTAGTTTCTATAAACAATTAATTTAGATAACTCTCTTGGCTTGCTAGAACATCGCTATTGACAAATTTGGGAACCTGTAATTTTTCAACAGTATTAATTTCAATTGTTTTTCGTTTTCATTTCTTTCTCTTGCTTCAGTCGTAAGATAATAAACACTAATGAATTTCTCGTGAAACTATACAAGATTAGCGTATTTATGAAATGCATGGGAAGTACAACTTTCCTGTACGCTCGGCGAAAAACGTGATTAAATTCGTGTTTCCCATACATTATTTTAATAAAAACTGTGCCTCACATGTTCGAGAAAGAGATTCCCGTCCCGTGTGCTTTTCGACCCTCGCTTTGTTCACGCATAAACAAGACAAAAATCTTTTCCATACTAGTTAGATAATGTACTATTTTATTTCAATCACAATTATTTTATAATTCCTCATTTTTTTATATAAAAAAATTTGATATGATCGTTTGATACCTATCACTGTTAGTTATGCTTTAATATTTTTGAGTATGAAAAAAAAGTGCAATTAGAAAAGAAATTTTTAATATATAATGTATATATTATAAAGGAAGAGAAGGAGGATTTTACAATTTAAAATTATTGCCCGCAATTCTATTTACGAAATTATTTGCGCGGGGAAAAAGAGACAAGAATGCCCTGACTAGTAAGTAACCTAACGCACGTGCAAGTTGTGACTTTCGAACGCGAAATAACTTGGGATGAAAGGAGAGGAGCAAATGCACAAATTGCGTCGGTAACTTAATAAAACCCCAATTTTATAGTTGATCCATTTACAACCTGACAAAAATGGAATAAAATACAACAAAAGAAAGAAACAAAATTATGGCCTGGCAATGCCCCGCCCGTAACGATCAGGTAAGATAGCTTCCTCAGAGAGGTACTCAACTGCTGCGGGCAGGCACGAATATTTGTTCGCTTCTGCTATCGTTTCTGCTTCTACTGTCGTTTCTGAAGATTTTCGGACACGGACGGGTTCGCTACAAAGGCCAGGGTAACCCGGCTCACTCATTGAGTGGTTTGCGTTTGGTCCAAATGTGGTCTCTCCACGTTAGTCGATGATCCATGTATATACCAAGGTATTTGGCTTTATCTAGTCGAGATATTAATTTTTCCTCTACTGTGCTTAAAGCGCGTCTTGAAACCCGGGTGTCAGGTTTCACAACACGCATTTTACGCATTGGAGGCAATAAAAATAGTATATTAACCATGAAAGTAAAAGTGTCGAACCCCTAGCATGTATTTAACACCCTGCTCTTCGCCTCGGATGTCAATTTTCACGTGCTATGAACATACTAATACTTTCACTTCCTTGGTTAATAATGTATTGTATTGTTTATCTGTACTGAAGAAGGAATTTCTTTTTTTTTGCTTTTTTTTTATGTGAAAGTTACCTGTATTATATTTTATTCCATTTATTATGATTCTCCAATTTTCAAATCAAAATAGTGCTTTATTTAGAGTTTATTGCATATTGTAAGAGACTGTTGTGAGATTTGAGTCGAATATTGATATAGCTTTTATAGCTTTACTGTCTGCATACATGGCGTTTTCGATATTTGCCATACTTGGGAGATCGTGAGTGTAAATTAAGTATAATATGAGGCTAGAAAACGCTTCCTTGGGGAATGCCTCCTTTTATTGAGTATAGCTTAGTGATTTCGTTATTTATTTCAACTTTGGATTTTCTACAGCATAAGTATGATTATATGAGCAAATATAGTCCAACTTCCAAAGTTTTTGCAGTAAGCTTTTGTGCCAGACTTTATTGGAAGCCTGGATTCCATCTAGAAATACTACATTGCTATATTTGTTTCTTTAGAAGGCGTTTCTGATTATAGTAGTGACTCTGTTTATTTCTTCCATTGTAGCATGTTTGTCTTGAAAACCGAACTAATAAGTAGGTATATTGTCCAGTTCAAGCAGTATTTTATTTCGTTTTTTGTATTATTTTTTTATAGATTTTAAAAAGTATTGGCAGCAGTCAAATTGGATTTGTATGTTGAAACAAGTTCACAAGTTCAAACGGTTTGCCGAATTTCATCATAAGTATTATTCTTGTAATTTTCCATACAGCAGCAAAATAATTTACGGACCCTTTCTACTTTTAATATTTGCGATTTATTTCTTTTACTTTTATATTATTGAATGTGCAATCCTCACTGCTACTTAACCCTTAGCTGCCGCACTTGTCTGGCAGTTACATAGCTGCCAGACCGGGGTAATTTGTACCCCAGTCAAAAACATGTCATTACGAAGAAAGTATTGAATATTTATCGATAAAATTTTTTTTGCATAATCTTTAGTAAGTACTTTAATCGTTTATACAGTTAAATTATCTAATTATAGAAATTGAGTGTCATAAAAAAATTAATTTAACAAAAAAAATCTAAAAATTTTTATTTTTTTGTTTAAGAAGTTAAAAATTTAACTGGATACTCCTGAAAAGTGATACTTATATAAAAAAAATAGTCTGGTAACGGATCTTTAAAAAAAGGTATTTATTTTGAGAAATGAAGGTAGGAATTTTGTGAAAAAATCAACTTTCAGAAATGTTGAAATATTCAAGAACTTTTATTAATTAAACGTACATTTTAGAAGTTTTGTCATATAAAAATGTATAAAACATATTAAAGATATAGTGGAAGACCAACATTGTCAATAGAAATTGAATTAAACTGAATATTAAACACAATTTCTCTATACAACCTTTACAACAGTAGCATGCATGTTCTTGACAAACAGGAAAATGGCAAAGCGAGCAACCTTTGCGAGATTTTTTATCGTCTTTTCTAGAGCAAAATACACATCTTTGCCCTACTGGAAATGTAACAGACTCTATTTTTTCAAATTGCACATCAACTTGCAAAATACCAGCAACACCATGCTTTATATCTTTTCGCAAAGTGCTGACTGCCAGTCTCTCTTGCAGAAGTGGTTTGACAAGATAGTGGCTTAATTTTTCAAGACAAACGACAGCTGACGTATTGTCTTTGATACCTTCAGTTTTATTCCGGCACTTTAGTAAAACTCTTGCATTTACAACAGCCTGATCAATCATTCCATAGAAATACCTTTACGGCCACCTGTTTGTTCTTCGGCTCACAGTATAGGAATGACACAATTTGTTAAAGTTATCTGTGCCTCCTTTTGTTGCATTGTAGTGTCTCACTAATACGGGTTGCATTGCTATAAGTGGTAGAATCATTCGTATCCTCGATGCCATCTTCCTCTAGCAGTTCTTCCCGTATGCGACGCGTTCGCAAATTATATGCCATCTAAATAATTCAAATAAAATATTATATATCGCCAAAAAAAAATTAAAAACGATTAGAATACCGTCTACTAACTTTATTTTACACTTTACTGCCAATTTAGAACGAAAAAAACAACCACTCCGAATCACCGAAAAATGACGTTGCTTACACACTGGGGTACACGCGATCCCACTCCACTTTGCTCTACGACCACAGCTAGACTGACACTTTCAAAGTAGCGGCACTAGGCCGAATAGAAGGGGGGGTGTCTGAATGATCTACAGATGTCGCCATAAGTATCGATTTATCGGTTTAAACTATTCAAAATTGAGATAGAAATGGCTGGGGTACCGCTTACCCCTGTGTGGCAGCCAAGGGTTAACACTTTTATCTCACTTACAAGAAAGGAACCAACCCGAACTTACCAATTTCGATAATTTTTGTCGTATGTCGTGAAAAATTATTAAAACAAGAGATTTATATTTTTTTATTAGTGGAAAAACATATTTAAGAGGTGAAATCCACCTTCACAGTTCACCCCGAAACAGTTTTTTTTTCAAATAACTTTTCTCCTAATCAATATCTTTTAGTAAAATTAAGTGAGTAATAATCCTTATAAAAAATCTAACAAATTCTGGCGTGTTTAACTTTTGAGGGTTGCAACCCCTAATTTTAATAGGTGAAAAATTTAAAAACCGGTAAGAATTTTTGCAGTGAAAAAATAGTTTAGTTTTGAACAAATGTTTGTATTTAGAATGAAAATAGAGTTCAACAATTTCTTTATTTTTAATTAAATTGATAGGATTTCCTATTTTAATTCTTTACGGAAAAAATCTTATTTTTATATATAATCAAAAAAAGAAAAAATTATATTTAATCTACATCAAATATCATTTCATTTTAAATACATTTGTCTTTGAACCAATTTTTTGAATGAGTGCTGCACACTTATTAATATGAACTTTTTTCTACCATTTTTATTTGTTAAAGTCTGAACAGTAATGATAACCATAAAAAAATGTTCGAAACATAGGGAATTTTCACACCAGTGTGACATCCGGGTCACTACCTCAGGCACGTCTGAGGCGAACGTTATCTCAGGTGATCTTTTTGGTTTGCATGGGTACGCTTAAACCGGGATGAGCAATGGGAGAATCAGAGCTTCCTACTTTGCGCTTCGCATTGAAAGAATAAAAAAAGTTTTGACTACAAGTCTTCCATCGAACACCATGATCCAATGGAATCAGGACTTGTATGTAAATACCCCAGACCTTGCTGGAATTATCACATAAAAGAGAATTTAATTTATTCTCTAACGACGCGATTGTCTTATAAAAAAGTATCCCAATTCCTGCTGAAATACTTTTCGAAGGCTTAATTCTTTCGAGCTTCGATTTGGCTACATTAGGAAGAAGAGGAAAAGGAAGGATAGCAATTAAAAAATTTCGTTTTGACTGACTTTTTCCTTTTATTTGACGTAATTTTCTGGCACTTGGA